GGCATGCATTCAACTTGAATTTGGTTTTGGCATGTGCTTTCTTTCACCAGATTGCCTTTTGTCTTTTATAACATACCTTATAATATTCACCATGGGAAGTCAGGCAAGAGGTTTTAAGTGAAAAAAGCAAAGTTAACTAGTGACTAGAGTGATGTTTCTGTTTGTAAGGCTAGGGAGAAGGTGTTTTTACTATTCATGCTGTAGCTGTCTCAAAGGCTAAAATTTCCTGTGGTGTCTTTGTTCAATCCTGCTTGCATTTCACTAGGAACGCCTTCATAGCTATGATCTTAGATGTCATTCTTTCATTAAGAACCTTGTTATTGTATAGGAGTAGGCAAAAATTTTGGCAGGTGAGGCACTGCATTATCTTATAATTACAGGTTTAGTTATTCCGTGAGCCTATGTATCTGTGATATGGCTTTTTAAAGTGTTTCTCGGCCCCCCTTACAGAGGTGACAGAATGTCTGTTCTGAGCTAGAGTTGGGTATTTCCCCTTCTCTGTGTGGAAATGAATAGGATGTTGGGTATTTCCCTTTTCCCATGTCGGACCTAAAGTGAAGTTGCCTTGAGTTGGATAAGCCCATTCTTCCAGCTGGTTAGGCTTTGGTAAAACCCCACATGCTGGTTAGGTAGGCTCTGATAAAATAACTGCCCACGACCAGTCCTTTAAGGTGATGAGAGGCTCTGGTAGCACCTTGCAAAATGTACAAGGGTTTTTTTTTCTAGTTTTCAACTAGAGAAGCTGATATGTTTTCTGAAAAGGGGGCTCAGGAAAGAGTGGGGGGGGGCTGCAAAGCACATCCCATCAGGGTTAGACTCCAGTTCACACTTAGGTTCCAGCAACAATCACTACCCCATTAACATTCTTCCCAGCATCTGGGCCCCAGCAGAGGCTCTGTTTGCATCATACATGCTTTAGTTTCAGGTGTCTTCTTTCCCTATGACTTGTGTGTTTGGAATATACAAAATGATTTTGTTCAGGGTTTGTTTGTTTGTCTTTTGCTGAAAAATAAAGTTTTGGGCATAAAAGAGTTCACTTTACCAAAGTATTAGAGTCTTATCTTACATCTCCAGTATTTATAGAAATTTGACAAATGTTCATTTCATAGAGTAGACCATTGAATGAGAGAAATTGCAACTTTCAGAATTCGTCTTGAAGTCTACATGTTTTGACAGTAAAACTGTTTTTACCTAACAAAATTTTAAATGGAAGTATGCTTAACTTAATCACTACTTTTAGTGTTTACTCAAAGGACATTGGGATGACATCTGCCTTTCTCTCATTTGATTCTTTATCTCATGTGATGGAGATATCATTCCAGACTGGGATGTATTGATGGGCAAAATAGTGAAAGACTTCTGATCTTGGTGAATATGCTCTACTTTGAGGTAATAAATAATAAAAAAAATGGTCAAAATGAAAAATATAAGTTCTGTGAAATGATTCAAAATAAAGGCATGGAAGGTGCAGAATCTGAAAAAGGGCAGGCAAGGGTTAACATTTTAAGCGGGACATTTAGAATAGATTACAATGAGGAGGTAATGTATGAGCAGACTTTAAGAGGAAGAGGGGTCTGCCATGAACATATTTAGCCAGAGGAACTATGGGCAGATGAGACAGGGCATGCAAAGGAAAAGGATTGACAAGAGCTCAGGGATGGCAATGAGTTAGAGTGAGGCAATGTAGCAGATGAGACCAAGGTAGTGCCAAGGTCCAGGTAAGGTCTTGGCTTTATTTGATACTGTGGTTCTATGGACAGATGGCAGATATAATTGATTTAGCACTAAAAAGAGTATCTGTCTACTCTTTTGTGATCTGGCATTATGGAGACTCATTACTAAGACCTGTGTCACAGAAAGAATTGTCTTCATTGGGGTCCTCAGTAGAAAAAGAGGAAATTTGAAGGTGTTTCTGGGATTGGTAGAATGAATGAAGATAAAGGAGATGGAGAAAGCATTGGATAAGGTTTGCTTTGTGGGGAAGGGTAGACTCTATCTTAAGAATATTCATTTTGGGGCACCTACCATGTGTGGAAATAGAGGTCTTAAATAGATACATGGAATTGAGGGGCATTTTTGGGTGGTAGAACTGTAGCAGATAAATGCTATTTAAAGACATGAACATGCAATGTGAAGGTTATAGATAGAGAACTGTAGGTGAAGGGTGTCGATAGAGAATGACAGCCGCAACACTTTCAAAGGCATGAGTATGTGAGCAGTGGGTGGTGTGGAAAGAAAAGAAACAAAAAAAAATTGAGAAGAATCATGAAAGAAAAAGAGGGGAAATAGATCAAAGTGGAAGGGATCAAACCTGCTTTGCATAAGAAATTGGTACATTATGTAAGATGATACAGACAAGCATCACTTCAGGGAAGTTAGAAATGGAAGGGCCAACTCAAAGCCACTTTTTATTGTACTGAGAGCATAGGGAGAAACTTCATTTTGCAGTAAATGGAGACTAACACAGAGGCAAGCAACTGGCCAAAGTGTAGAGAACAAGTGATTGAGGAGTACTTAGCCCTAAATATGGACATCTACATTATACCCTTGCTCCCAAAGCTCAGGGATCCTTGCCAAAGAGGGTGCAGAAAGACTGCAAGACCCAGAGGCAATGGGTGGCTGCAAGGAAACAGTGCTTTCTGCACAGTTGGGCAGCTGACATATGAACTCACAGCATTTTTTGTCAGCATGCATATGGCCTGTGCAAACTCAAGCCAGCCCAAATCATAACAGAGAGGTAGAAGATGAGCATGGAGTCTCATTCCTGGCTGAGGAGCTATTGGGAATTGATAGCTGCTGGAAAAGATAAGTCTGGTTTTCTTTTACAGTTTTGCCTTCTTGTAGCTCTAGTATATTCCACTGGATGGCCATATGCCCTAGTATATACAGGCACTTCCTAATTTCACTTAATGAGTTTTAAAAGAAATATATGGGGACACAAACTTGGGAAGGTATGGAAAAAGGGATGAGTGGGGGAATACATGGGTGGTTGAACATGATCAAACTATGATATATGAAAATCTTGAATTATTAAAAAAAGAAATTGAAGTACTGAAGGTAGGGTAATAATTGGACACAGAAAATTTGAATACAGGGGTTAGGCAGTTTGGCCTGAGATTTCTTCAGAGACCATGGCAATCTCCTGAAGTAAGAAAGCTACTCTTTGCCCACTGCATCCACTATGAAGCAACACGGGTAAGGACCTGGCTTGCATTATGGCCCTAATGTTCTAATGATGTTCTGATTCAGAAATCCCCCAAAATCTCTAATGACATCTAGTATACCAATCTCTAGTTGTTTCTATATTTAAAGAATAGTATGAAACTAGGATGCACATCTACACTCTGTTCTAAAATTCTGAAAACTGGCCATGTTTTAATTCAATTAACAAGATTTTAGTTTCTAAAATGGCTTTGTGTGTCCCATGACACATATTCTTAAGATGGGGAATAAGCTTTATAAAATGAACTGAAAAATAAGACAATTTGGGTTAGATTTCCTCTTAGTGCTCTTTGTTATTTCATAAATTTTATAGCATTTCATTGTAAAGGTCACAACTGATTTGACTTTATTTTTCTTCTAAATAAAACAATATTTTTTTCATGATATGTTATTATAAACTCTATTGTAAAGTATATATGTGATTTGACATACATTATATAGGTTGCTTTTTCAGATGCTGAGTAAATGATTAATGACACTTAAAAATAACACGTATTATTGTATAAAGAAAATGCTTTCTATGCTTTCGATCCTTTAATTTTCAAGAACATGAGCAAAGTGTCTGATGTGCTGTCACATGCCTATAATTTCAGCACTTGGTTGGAAGAGGCAAAAGAATTGCTAAATGTTGAGGCCTGATTGGGATACACAGTGAGCTCCAGATCATCAGCCTTGGCTACAGAGTTAGGCCCTGTCTCAAACAATCACCAAGAAAAATCCCACAACACACAGCTTTACCCAATTCCACCTACCGCACTGCCTCCCCCAAAAAACAACCAAACAAATAAGAACACTGACTTATAGTAACTAGAGTTAGGGGAAACAATATGAATTTATGAAGATACTTATAAAATGTGTTAGAAATATGTCAAGATATATTCTGATATGAAATTATTTTAATCCAAGAATATTTGTAATAATATTTTGAGAATATTAAGTGGAGAACAATTAAATACTATGAACACAGTGCTTTAAGTGACTCCCAAGTCTCAAAGAGCTATTAGAATACTGACTCATTTGTTCTCAGTGACGTAGTTGTGTATACCCATCATTTTACCACATGTATTCTTTGACTGAGACCCACCTTATAACAGCATTTCTATTTGGGTAAAATACAGCACTGGTGAAAAAAAAATGTTAACTTTGACATTAAAAAAAAAAAAACTCTGTCTTTTATTCCTTGCTTAAACTGTATTACTTTTGTGGGGTTGTTGTTGCTATTCTTTTGGTTTTTTTTTTTTATCATATTGTTTTACCTATAGGATAAGATTTGTATAAGGGTTATGTCCAGGGTCCTACAAATGAGATTTATCTGAATTAACAAAATTGTTTCTATAATAATTTTACATATAATTCCTGGATCTTAAAATCATAAGTTAAAATCAAATAATGATAAAAACTCTCACAACTATCTTTTTATATGCATCTTCATATGTATGTATGATACATGTCATAAACATATGCAAGAATGAGTATTATTTGAGTCAGGAAAGAGGTTGCCATTTGCAGTAGTAAGGGAGATGTGATTTTGGTAAGGTTTATAGGTGCATAAGGGATTGGAAAATGACTATTTCTTAAGCTAACCATGTTGGCTTATGTATTGTTTTTTTTTCATCATAAAATTTCAAAACTGAATAGTCTTACATAAGGAAAATTATATTGTGATTATTTGAGTTCTTTTTTCTCTCCTTAATGAAATTTATCTGTGGTATCAGGAGACCATCTCACAGAAAGAATTTTGAATAAATTGTCAGTTGTCTTTCCTTTTTCATTTTCAGTTCAAAAGGACATAGTCCGGATTCTCCCCAGTTTAGATGTTGAAGTCAAGGATATTACTGACTCTTATGATACTAACTGGTTTCTTCAGTTGCTGTCTACAGAAGATCTTTTTGAAATGACCAGCAAAGAGTTTCCTGTAGTAGCAGAAGTCATTGAAGTATCTCAAGGGGACCAACTGCCCCGAAGTATTTTACAGCCTGGGAAAACCATTGTGATCCACAAAAAGTTTCAGGCTTCTAGGATTCTAGCTTCAGAAATTCGAAGCAATTTTCCCAAAAGACACTTCTTGATCCCTAGTAGCTACAAAGGTAAGTTCAAAAGGAGACCCCGGGAGTTCCCAACGGCCTATGACCTGCAGATATATACGACTGAGAAGGAAACTCTCCACGTGGTGGCCACCAAAGCCTTCCACACACTTCACAAGAAGCTGTCCTCTGTGTCTGTTGGGGACCAGTTTCTAGTGCGTCATTCAGAGACCACAGAAGTCATCTTTGAGGGAACAAGAAAAGTGAACGTTCTGGCCTGTGAAAAGATCCTCAATAAGTCCTATGAGGCAGTCCGGCTCCCTCTGTACATGGAAGGAGGTTTTGTTGAGGTGATTCATGACAAGAAACAGTACCAGCTTTCAGAGCTCTGTACACAATTCCGCTGGCCCTTCAATGTAAAGGTATCCGTGAGAGATCTCTTCATCAAAGATGACATTTTGGCAGCTACCCCAGGACTGCAGTTGGAGGAGGATATCACAGACTCCTACCTACTTGTTAGTGACTTTGCCAATCCCGGGGAATGTTGGGAAATTCCTATGGGCCGACTGAATATGACTGTTCAGCTAGTTAGTAGTAGTAATTTGTCTGTGGATACAGGGCCAACTCAAGTAAGGACTCTGGTAGAAGAGATCACAGAAGAACAATATTACATGATGAGGAGGTATGAAAGTTCTCTTTCACATCCTCCGCCTCGCCCTCCCAAACATCCCTCAGCAGGAGAAACCAAGTTAACCTCGCTCAGCTTTGCAGAAGAGGGAACAGGAGATCTGCCCAAGTCTCCTAAGGTAAGAGACTATGATTTCACAAATTTCCTCTTCTCCAGATAGCAAGTTCCGAGTTGCTTCTGAGTTTGCCCTTTGCTTGCTTTCCTTCCTTCCATATCACTCTGAAAGCCTGATGCATGCTATATGAATGAACATCAATAGAGAAAGCTGTTGGAGCATTTTGTACTTTGATGCTTCACCAGTAGATGTGGTGTGAAATCTGCACTGAATTAAAAGTAGATGTGATGACATTTGTCTATGACTGCACAAATTGCCATTTCAATGGGTTTTGGCAACTGAACATGTTTAATAAGATACCTCAGAAGAAATTCCCATTTATTTTGGAAATGTGGTTCATTTTTCTTAGGTAGAATTCTCTTAATACTTCACCCAGGAAATGAGCATACAATAAACTCCAGTCTTCTTGGTGGTGTGTGGGTGGGTTGGGGGGAGAGTAGGAGTTTACTGGTAACATGCATCTCTAACACATGCCTTCATTTTGTTTTATGTGCAGAAAGATATAAAAATATCTTGGCAGAACTGGGTGTGTGATAATGTGAGCATCTGCCCACATAATGCCTCTTAGAATTGTGTAATCTTTAACAGTTCTATTGCAAAATAAAAATTAGTAAACCTACAGGCACCATAGGATCTCTATGGAATTACCAAAACCACTCAAGATGTTAAACAGTAGTTCAGCATCATTTCTACTTGATGTAATTGCTTCTTAAACACTGCCTGCTGACTGAAGGAACTGAGCTTGCCCTTGCCCAGGATGTATATGGTGTGTGTGTGTGTGTGTGTGTGTGTGTGTGTGTGTGTGTGTGTGTGGTGTGAACATCTATGGTATATGGAAGGAGTGTATTCTGTCCCAGAAGATGTTGAACTAGAAACACAAGGAAAACAAAACAGTAAAAGAGATATTTGCTGTTTCTCCTCACATTCAGAAATGATAGTAGCACTGGGCATCAAGACTAATCTATGGATGTGGATGCCCTTACAGTTGTGTATTTCAAAGACTGTTCTGATTTATGCTAAAGGAAACCTGAATGATCACTAAATTTGTTTTTCAGAGGAAGAAGATAAAACTAACAAAAATTTCCTTTCAAGAAAAAATTTTTTTAAAAATTGACAAAACAAAACACTTCTGAAATAATAATGATTAGCTAAAGTGAAGGCGGGGGCCAGAGTTCTTTGATTCTTGTACATTTTTTTTTTTCCCTCGGTGAGTTGAATGATACTATCATGGGTGGTGGGGTGTAGGCCTAGTTTTCCTAGGTTTTTGGCATCTTATTTTAAGAATGAAACAAATACCACACACATATTTGCAAGAGTACCAAGAAAACAATATTCAAAGCAGAGCCATAGAACAGATAAAAACACACTATTAGAAGTGACGGTGGTCTAAATGAGTGAAGACATTCAAGGGCCCACTATTGTTTGAGGTTTTTATTTATTGGTTGTCAACTTGGCATGCCTAGGGAGGGGACATTCAGTTGATGGAATGCCTCCATCTTAAGGGCCTGTGGGCACTTCTGTGAAAAGTTTGGTGGTGATCCATTTTGATTGACAAGCTTACTTACATGGGCTTTGCTTACTGTGATCATCCCTTCCCAGTATGCATCTGATTTTAATTATATATAGGCATAAGAAACTGAAGTGAAATGTGCTGTCAGATTATTAGGTTCATTGTTCATAGAGGTGTGTGTGTGTGTGTGTGTGTGTGTGTGTGTGTGTGTGTGTGTGTGTGTGCATTATATGTGTGGATTAAAGATCTCAGGCTACCAAATGTCTGACGTGTGTGAGGAATGTGTGCATACCCTAAGCCAAGTAGAGTTCCAAGTGACTAAGCTGTTCCTTATTCCTGCATGCTTCAAATTGAGAAATAGATGTTTTCTTCTTATTGGTAGGCAGAGAAATATCACTCATTCAAAAATGTGCATACCTAACTTCCCAGAACCTACAAAGATTAACATGGAATGGCAAAAGGACTTTTCACATATGATTAAAATCCAGGACCTTGTGATGAGATTATCCAAGTATCCCCAAAGGTATAACTTAATCACTGAAATCTTTACAAGGGAAGTCTCCAGTGGAGGGCAGCATTCCAGGAGAAGTGGTTAAAGAACAATGTCCAAAGAGACAACAATTCTGTTCTCAAAGAGAGAGGAATGGAGTCAGGCATAAACTGATGATGTTTCTCTAAACAGAGTCTTCCCCAGATGTTCAGGAAGAAGCAGCTTAGCTAAACTCTAAGATAATAAAAGTATGTTATTTAAAACAATAAATTTATAGTAACATTATAACAAGAACAAAAAGATAAAATATGATTCAAAGTTATTTAGGAATTAATAAAAGCCTTAAATAGCTAAATCTCTGTACATGAGCTAGGACGTATTTTGTTGGAAAACGATTTGCTTGTATTTGACAGTTATGTTACATAATCCAGACAATAGGCTAGCCTCAATCTCATGAGGTTCTTGCCTTAGCGTCCTAAATAGCTAAGATAAGAAATTTGTACCACAAATAACCCACCTTTGACACTAATAACCCACCTCTCATTTCCCTCCTCCATCTTCCCGTTCTTCCCTTATATCTCTTCCCCAACCCTCCTCTTCTTTCCTCCCTCCTACTCCCTCTTCCTTCCTCTCTCTTTCTCACCCTCTCATAGTTAGCTTTTGTTGTCATGATATCCTCGGTTGAGGGAAATCCTCCATCTGGTTGGACTATGGACATGTCTGTGGAGCATTTTCTTAACTGCTAATTGATATAGGAAGGTCCACCTACTATGGGTAGTGCCATTTCTAGGCAGGTGGTCCAGTGCTATATAAGAAAGGTAGCTCAACAGGTGAGGGGAAGTAAGCCTGTAAACAGCATTGCTCCCTGATCTCTGCTTTAGTTACTGCCTCCCAGTTCCTGCCTTAAGTGCCTGTCCGTCTTGAGCTTTTGCCTTTGTTTCTCTTGACGATGGCATATAACCTATAAGCCAAATAACACGCTGCAATTGCTTTTGATCAGTGTTTATTAAGTAACAGAGAAACAAACCAGAATATCCCCTTTCTTTATTTACTCCCTTTTTTCCTCTACCTTTAAAAGTGAGTTTTAATGGATCCTGTGCCTGTGGAGATCCTGAGGGTACAGCTAATATTTTGAACCAAGAATCTAGGATATTGAGAAGAGCTAGCACAATATTTATTTTTCTTTCTATATTTGTTTTACTATTTCCAGCTAATTTTGTTTGCAAGTGTCACTAGACTTTTAAGTGTTTCGGCATCATGTATCTCAGTTTCAATAATAGAAAGAATGCTGTCTTGTTATCTAGACTGAATTCAAAAAGAGAAAAGACTTAGATTGGACTAAGTATCATGACTCAGCCAACTTACTGGTTGCCTCAACTATAGGCTAAATTGATGAATATTTTAAATGTAAACCCATAGAGTAGACACCTTACAAAGAACAAAATTTTAGTGGTCTGAGAATTCTGGAGGATAGGAAATGTACATCAAGTTGCTGGTAAAGTTGTTCTTCAGTTCCAAGATGGAGTCTTGTTGATGTATCACCCAGAAAAAAGGATACCACTTTCTCATGTAGCATAAATTCTGTAGGAAGGGAAACTCTTCCCTCCAGAGTCATTGAGTATGCTTTTGTAAGGCCAGATTTCACAGCCTAAGCTCTTTCAATCTATCCAATCTCCGGCTACTACTATTGTATTAGTGTGAAGTTGCTAACATGAGCTTTGGAAGAGACAAAAAGCATCCATACAAAAGCAATGAAGAAGAATATCAGGGCTGGATACTGCAAAAACAAGAGGCGAAAAGTTAGGTGATAGACAATAACAGATGTCTACTACCTTCCCCAAATAAAAGATTTTTAAAACTCCAAACCAAGAAAACATTCATAGATAAAAGTAGATTAAAAAAATTTTAAAGTATCTTCTAAAGGTACAAAAGTTAAGGTGATTCTTAAGAGAAAAATATATAACAATATTATATCTTATGTACTAAAATTACTAAATCAATGTATACTGTTTTATAGATTTATATAGTAGTTTGTTACTCTTTTGCAAAATCCCACATGAGTTTACAGTTTTGAGACCTGAGTTCCATTATGTATAATCATGGCTTGGAGTTAGTGAAGGGTTGTCAGGATTTTATGAAGTTCTGGAACTATTTTTATTTGAGGTACAAGAATTGAGTGACAACTTAAACTTGTAAGACTTGACACTAGGTGATCATAGTTGTGGGATACATTTGAAGAACTTAGAACTTGGGAGGTAGATACACAGAGGGTTGGGAGAGCTAGGCCAGCCAAGAAACCCTCCTCAAAATCAAAAGGAACAACACAAAACAGAAATTATGTAACTGTTCTGTGTCAAGGAGTGCAGACTCGGTTCTTCCAATATCACCAACTTGGGTTGAATTGAAGGATGGGTGTATTTGATGCAAAAGTGACAGACTTCATATTACAAAAAAAGGTATTAGAGCTAAAAAATAGCAATTGTGAGTCAAGGATGGTATTAGTGGGCTCTTCATCAGACTTGAGATGAATTCACAATTTCTTGTTTCGATTAGTTACACATTGCTCATGTGACTAAAAGCAAAGCACTATCATAGTCTCTGAAATATCTTAAAAACATCACTGATGTTACCATTTGCCCATGTTCAGACCTACTGGCCTCCTCATGGTCAATAATTTTCATTCACTGTGAAGAATGGGATTAGCTCAGTGGATCACAGTTATAGCAGATCTGTCAGGTTCTGTGTAATGTACCCAGAAAGTCTTAAACCAATGTTGTCTTATTACCCCAGTGTCACTCTTCCATGTCTTTTGTATCCCCTGAGATAACTGCATTAATGCTTTTCTCTCGTGTATACTTCTGAAATAAGATTTTTTTTAATGTTTAACATTAGGGAGCATCCATTTAAAACAAGAAAGCCTCTAAGTCTTGGGGTTTTCCACAAGATACTGCTTTAAAATTTGAGAACAATTTGTGGGGGTTATTCAGAGTTTAAATATTCAGA